TGTTGTTGTTGTTGTTGTTGTTGTTGTTGTTGTGGTGGTGGTGGTGGTGGTGGTGGTGGTGGTGGTTGTATCTGTATTTTCTGCTCCTTCTTCATTTTGGTTCCTTGTTGATTCAGTCTCTGCAGATGTTGTATCAGTCTCAGTCGTAGCAGCATTAGAACCACCGTTACTCGCTGTTTCTGAAGTGATGGAGGAAGGTGGGACTTGTGATGGCGCACTTCCACTTCCTTCACTGTTGCTGCTGATTTCAGTTGTACCTTCACCTGCCGTAGGATTACTATCTGGTCGTGTTCCACCTTGAAGCTCCGGAGTTTTGTTGTCAACTTGAGTAACAGTGGGACCTTCTCCATCAGTTCCTCTATTTGGTGCACTTACAGTAGTAGCGGAACCAACAACAGGTTGACCTTCAAGTTCGTTTGCTACTGGATCAGGGTGTGGTTGTGTAGATGGACCCGCACCACCACCAATACCACCAGCAGATCCAGCAGAGGGATCTTGAGCTGCAGGAGTACAAGTACCGCCAGTAGAAACACCACCAGTACAAGAAGCAGCAGCAGGCTTCGAAGAACCTTTAGAAGTTTTACTGGGTGGTTCTACTTCATGTGAAACAGCATCTACAGTTTTTTGCAACGTTGTATGTTCTTCAGAACCATTTCTCCTGTTGTTATCCAGAGTTGATTGATCAGACAAATCTTTTTTCAATCCTTTATTTTTCAACTGTTCATTCGTTTTCAACACTTGCTCAGCTACCTGAGTTTCAATTAGTGTACCACTGGGAATAGATGCATGCCCTTTCACCAAACCCTGAGCAAGAACAGCCTCATCCTCATTCTCCTTATCTTCCTTTTCATCATCTTTACTAACATGTCCAGAAGCAGGAATAGCATGATGAACAAGAGAAGGAACTCCAACAGTAGAAGTTTTAATAAGGGCATCAGAAGCTTTAGGACTATCAGCCCATACTAACCCACAAGCACAACAGAGTGCAAGAGTTAGTAAACAGAGCAGGTAACACCTCACCATTACAGTCTTTATCATTGTTCTTGTTTTACTTCAATAAACTGATACAATAAAGAAGAATGAAAAAAGAAAAACTAATTATGATAGAAACAAACAAACATACACCAATACAACAAATACTCACAGTAAGAGAAGCAGCAACTGCACAGTAAGCAACAAAAAGAAATATGCCACTTGCGTGATAATATGTACCCCTTAATAGAAA